GTTAAGCATTTGTCTTCGGCTCAGGTCATGGTCCCAGGGTCCTGGAATTGAGCCCCATATCGGGCTCCCTGCTCAGTGGGGAGTCTGCTTCCCCTCTGCCCCTCACCCCACTCATTTTCTCTCTCCCTCTCTCTCTATTAAATAAATAAATAAAATATTTAAAAAAAAAAAGAAATCTTGATACTGTCCCCATCGGAGCTATCAAGGGGCAACACTACATAACCTCTTCCATTATAAGTGCATGTGCTGGATTCCATTTCTCCATAGTCTGGAAAAGGAGCATGCCTGGGAACATGGCCAAGGGAAATGGAGCTAGCTTTCAGGTGAATGGGATATCCCCTGTCTCAGTGTTCAAAGCTTGAAATACTTAGGTGGCCCCAACTCAGTGTCAACCAGCCTTGTGCGCTGGCAGGGGCCTAGAAGGAAGTTGAGGAGAAGGTTGGCAGTTCATGGCAGGTGCAAACACTGAAGGAGACAGGATTTCCCACCCTTAGTGCGCAGAGTAGAGAAAAGGCTTGAATAGGGGATGGGGACGATGACCAGGCATTTTCTTCGTGGACACTCGAGAAACATATAGGGTTTTTAATCATATAAAGGTAATTCTCCTGAAGAATTAAAATAATCCAGTTTGGGCCAAACCTTCCTGTAAGAAGGGCACAGACCATTTCTGTGATTCACTCCTTTTGCCTTCAGGAACCCAAACCCAGCACTGGAAATATTAGAAATCCTGAGTGCATCATACCCCCAGCCATCCACTGATTTCAGTGTTGAGGGCGTGAGCCCCAGAAAGCTGAGGTTGTCAGCTCAGAGAACACCCTCAAGAGAGGAGGCTGGCTTTGTGGAAGGATGCAGTCCCATCTCTGTGCGGGGAAACCAGGCAGCACCTGGGCATCATCGGCGAGAGGCAATCAGTGGAAGCTCATCCCAGCTCTAGTCCGACTTTGGTTTTGGTTTTTTCCAGTTCCTTTGCTATGAACCTATAAACAAACCAAGCAGGCCGTTTTTGGAAAGGAGTGTGTTCTTAAATCACAGTAACAGGAAACAGACCACTAGGGGGGATTGTTAAGCCATTTTGTGCAAAAAGAATGACTCTTAACTCTTGAAAATGACTGCAGTCTCATTCTTTCAAATCGTCATTAGTCAACTTGAAGCAGGAGCAACCCACCAGAATTGGAATCCAATCTTCGCGAGCAAACTCGCCTCTCCACCGAAAGTGATCAAACGCCAGTAAACATCCCTTTCTTGTTTTAATTGCGAAAGGATTAATGCCGGCTTTGAAGAAATCGCTGTCCCCACTACCTGCTTCCAGAAGCAACTGTTCCCACAGCATCTTGGCAGGTGCGGCCCAGAAGCTGGACCCCGCCCTCATCACATAGCTGGCCGGCGGTATATTTGCGGGGCCCAGTGTGTGCTCAGCTCTGAACTAGTCAACTTTGTTATCCGAACTCTCCTAAACCCAAAGCCTAACAAGAAAATAGCAAAGAGTAATTCCCCCACAATGATTACAGAGGGACAGGGATCAGAGGGGCATTCGGGGGGCCAGATTAAATGAAGTATTTTTCAGACAAAGGGGCAAGACTCTAGATTTGAGAGAGAGAAAAAGGGTGGGTGGGTGGCCGCTAATGCACACATGTGGGGATTGTTTGAAGGACACGCCAGTATTTTTAGAATTGCTTCTCCAGTGGGTAAGATCTCTTACTTGCGGTGTGTTAATAATCATTTCCAAATCAATAACTAGAAGTCGCTCTGGGTAGGTCCAGGGCTTGGTGTCAGTGAGGAGACTCTTGGAGGGTGTACTGACTGGAAGACAGCGTGTTTGGGAAAGGCCAGGGAAGAGGCTGGGGGCGAGTCCAAAAGGCTCACAATTGTTTCAGTCATTAAACAGCGATATTTAATTTGAGCTTAGTAATCCAGGGCACTATTATTTGTGCCCCAGCAAAAAGGAAAAAAAAAAAAAGAAAATTAAATAAGTATAATAAAAGAGCGAGGAGGGGCCAAGCTGCTTTGGGCAAAGAAGGGCAATAAAGGAGTCTTTATAACTGCTGGATGGTGGAATAGGCTCCCCCCCAAGCAGAATGTCAAATTCTGTCCCCCATTTTTTCCCTCTTAAAGCATGCTAAAAGGAAAATTCTTCACAGAACCTTAAAGAACTTTTTTTGACACAACAGCTGCAAAATCTATTTTCTAAACAAAGATTTATACATATTTATATGAGCTTAATCCAGATTTTTTTTAATAAATCATCCTCAGAACTGCAGAGGTAAACTATATGTAAATACCTCAAGTAATAGGCTTGTAGTGCAAATCACATCATTTTATCTTCAATTTTGCATTCGTTTTTCTGGCTTAAAGGTGCATCAGAGATATGCATTTTAGCATATTCAGAACACGGGGCGTGAAATTAAATGTTTGACAGAGTGAGAAAAATATACAGACTTTGGAGATGCCTTAAAAATAGTAATTTATGCAGATCTAGAGGAGTGAAATCATTTGCAATGGAGTGACCCTCTCTCCAGGAATTTTGTGCTCAGTGTTCTTCCCTAATCTCCCGCTGTATCTTCATTTTTCATTGAACTAGCCAGTTTTCTGCGAAGCCGTCTTGTAGATAAGGGGAGTGCTAAAGAAGAAGAAAGAGGACGCTCGGTGGGTCCGTTTCCATTGCACTTTTACCCAAGGCAATGGGCAGAATTTAACGGATTCCTTCCAACATATGTTTTTGCCAGATAAGTAAACAGTGTGTGTCGGAAATGAAAAAGCATTTGCAATTTAATGACATTACAGCTCTCAGCTTAGGCTGGCGTGCTGCGAGGCGAAAAGCAGAAAAAGAGAGGAGAGTAGAAAGAGAAAAAGAACAAAGTTCATCTTCCCTTTTGTGCATTTTTATCAAGGAAAATATTACCTCTTTCCCCCCTCGTTCTCTTTTTCTTTTTCGTCTTTTGGCTTTTTTGTCTCACTCATTTACATTTTTTTTCTTTTCTGCCTTTCTGTCCTCTGTTCACTTTTACCTTTTTCTTATATTGCCACTGACTCATTTCTTTTTTCTCTCCATTGTGTGTCCTTATTCATCTATTTTGGCCATTCAGTTTTACCTTATAAGAAGCTGTTTATCCCACAATGTATCTTTTTTGCCTGTGTTGTACTCCTAGTGCTATAGCTCATAGTCAGCAGGATTGTCGGAGGGATTAGAACGTTTCATTTCAAAGCACTACAAATCTGCTCTCTTGCCTTGGGTCCCTGCTCCTGTTTCCTCTGAGACTTGTCATTTTATTTCACGTTCATTGCAGTCTTTAGTTTCATCCCCAGACGTTACAGCACCCTGATGTCTAACCACTGATACTCACTGTCTCTGCCTTGCGTGTTGTGTCTGCAAGTTTCCAGAAACCTAACCTTGAAATGGCAGACCCATTCCCTCACACCCTCGGCGGGGTTTGGATGGGCATGGACAGTGAACATGTGGTCAGAATTGGTCCTTCCGATGCTGGATGGCCAGGGCAGGGTATCTTGGAGGGGATGCTCATAATGGGCCATCTTCCAATAGAAAACGAACTCCATACACTACAGCCGCATTTCCTTCTACTTTTCCTTTGTGTGAGGGTGATCACTGAAATATGTGTATACTTGAGTTCTGGGATTGTGTAATTGAGTGTGACTGTGCACGTGTGTGCGTGTGTGTGTGTGTCTGTGTGTGTGTATGAACTGGACTGTGTGATAAGTGTACACAGGAGGGCGTATAGAGTTGTTTAAGGCAATGTAGTAGAAGTCTTCGATGATGGGCATATGAAAAGACATGACTATCTTTCAGCTTCGATTTTACTTTAAATTCCAGAAGTAAAACTTGAATGGAAAACCAGTATTTTCTCCCTACTAAGGTCCATAGCGTTTTTATTTCTAGGATTATTTTGACTGCACCTTTTACAAGTAAGAATAAGATTTTCCACCCTGTCTCCCTGTTGTTGACAGACTAGTTGGATAACTACACAACCCCACTTAGGAGTAAGGAATATCTCTGGGTCATTTTTGCTACCTTAAGTTGTCAGTCTGTCAATGCAGGCAGTTCCTGAAGAAACAACTTCCAACATGAAGATCAGGATTCATCGTTGTCTTCTTATTTTTGCAAAACAAGTTCACAGATTTCCAGTATTGTCATCATGAACATTTGAATACTGGTACTCCAGATGTTAAACGTAAATCCCATTCCAAGAATACACTTGATAGTTACCGGTTAACCTGCAGGTTGAGCATAACTGAAAGGACCTGTAAGCAAATTTCAAGTCCTATCACGGAAATACTGTACAGACTTTAAAAAGATGCTTAAATAAAATGCTCTTGTCTAAAGACATGTGCATGTTTTTACCATAAAATTACATCTTCCACATCTTCCAGATCCGGCACTTGGTAAGTAAAAAGAAAATCTATTTGGACATAAGGATGTAAAGTAGCTGGAGGTGGTAATTTAATCAACCAAGGATATATTTCATAGTTTTTCTGGTCTTCTAGGCATTAGCACTTTAAATTCATTATGTCGGTTTGACAGATATATGCAGCCTTAAGGATCTAAAAATGAAATCCTAGAAGTATAGCCTGCTAGAGGATACATATTGAACTTAAGAGATTAAAATGGTATAACCATTGCAACAGAATGGAACATATCGCGTTTCTCATTTTTTCCCCACTAAGCATGAGTATTTTGCAGATGTAAAATACAGTCTTGTCTAATTATAAAACCTGGCTCAAGAACCAGAGCTTTCTAAATTTTATACTGATGAAGTGGATATTAGAAAGAAAATGTTGGCTTCACATGCAGTCTGAAGATGAAGAAGTCTTGCATTTGGCATTTTCTATATCAATAATTTATTAAGGAAAACGACACAAGTGGTCACATGCAGCCTGCTGTTCACAGGCAAGCATCATGCATGCTGTTCCTAGTTAAGGCAAATAACAAAAGAGCCAAATTATAAAGCAGGTCTTAACATAACTGCGACGTTCAATCTAGTATATCATTATGCCAATTTAGTGACGTTAATGATCTGTAATATTAATTCATCATCCTGGAAAATGGGGAAGAGTTGCCATAATTAACTGTATTAAGCCACAATTAAGAAGTCATCCAAGCTGTTGTAAAGATTCTGGTGATGATAAGGGCGTTCGTTATATTACAAACCTTTCTGACCATGTACATTTTGTATGTGAGTCTTTGTTACAAACAGCCCCTCACTCCGAATTCAGATATGTCAAAAGAGCAGCCACCCACGGAGGCGGTGACTGACTAGACGCCTTATCGGCCACTTCCATCGCCAACTGCGGTTCAACACTTTCTTACAGGGAGAATCAGCTTTGAAAGAGGTACAACCTTTTAGCATATCTACTTTAATTCCTCACAGGGAAGCGAAAACAGGCTGTCTGGTGAAATTCACATATGTCGACAGACTATCTCTCCCCTGAGATTAGGGTCATCTTTGAAAGTCACATTTCAAACCGCACCAAATGAACATTTTGATGTTTTAAAATGGAGATCCTATAACGTCCAAGCCTAAATCCAAGTTACCTATCACCAGATGTCTATAAGCTCTTAATTCTCCTCCCCACCTATTTGAAGTCTGTATTGTGATGGGAGTCTTTAAGGCACAGACAATATCAGGTGAAGAGATAAATGGGACCATGAAAGAGGTGAGATGCAGCCAGGGGGACAACTGATTCGACCGGCCAGTCCAAAGGAATCCCTCCCTTTATGCTGGACTGGACAGATCTGCTGTCAATAAAGGCCGATTTCCTCTTTCACCCTGACTTCTCTTTGCACCCATATTATTATCACCGCCATTAATGATCATGAGCTCTTCCTCCCTAAAGCAACACCGAGTATTCAGCTATCTCTATGCATAAGTCACCCCCTAAGTGCATTTAGAACCAGGGACTGTCCTTGCTGTGCTGAGCCAAGTGAATGAGGAAGCTAGGTAGTAACGTGTACACACGTGTAGCTGAAAGTAATTCATGACAACTAAAAAACAAAGCACATCACCAACTTGTCCAGAATAAGGGGCCGGGGATTTATATTTGCAGAGATTCATAAAGAGCTCCTCTGTCTATTGGTGTGGCTCTGTTTTATGCCCGTTAAGCCCGAAGCCCTGCTGCAAATCCAAAGTCACATCCGACACAATATTGCTCGGCATTTGATCAAGATTTTCAGTGAAAAGGAACTGCAGTGATTTCCCCAGGAGAGTTTCCCCCCACCCCATGTGCCTTTCTGTCAACATTATGGTACGTGCCTCTGTGAAAACACACATACGCTCAACACTGATTTCCGCAGGGTGCCATGTGCCAGAAAAGTCTCATTGGCAGCATCAGACGAGGGACAAATCACTGGACAATCTTAGCCTTCCTGGTTTGAGTAGTGACATCCCATTCCAACATTCTCACTCAACAGGACCCAGCAAACTGCTCTCAAGAGAAAAATCTCTGCTCCCTTCTTGTACTCAAGCAGCCGGTTTACACATCCAGCCTCGGAGAGTCAGTTCCCTTCACGGGATGCTGGAAGCTTCACGACTGTTGGCCAAACAGAAACCCCTTCAAATGTGGCACTGTAGAGGAAAACAGCAGTTACTACTTCTGATGTGAGAGGGTCCAACAAAGCCCCTCTGCCAATACACATTGCCAGGAAAAAAAAAAAAAAGCAGGTGTCTGGGGGCGCCTGGGTGGCTCCGTCGGTGAGCGTCCAACTCTTGATTTCAGCTCAGGTCTTGATCTCAGGGTTGTGGGATCAGGCCCTGCGTCAGGTTCTGTGCTTAGTGCAGAGTCTGCTTGAGATTCTCTCTCTCCTTCTCCTCCTCCCCCTGCTTGTTCTCTCTCTCTAAAATAAATAAATAAATAAAAATCTTAACCAAAAAAAAAGCAGGTCTCTTATACAACCCCTCTGGGAAAGTGGAAAAATTTACCAAACCAAACCTACCTTCACTCCCACCCTTTGGAGCAATTACCATCAAGAAGCCTGATTTACCCTCCCTCAGGAAAGGATGTGTGGGGCTATCAAAGTGAAAAAACACGGTTTTTTAGATGAGTTTACAAAAAACCCTAGCACTAGCCTGGCTGAGATGTTGGAAAGGAGAGGGTCTTGCCAAGTCTTCATTCATAGCTACACATGGGTCTGGTTCTATTCCGTGTCTTCTGAGGATGGATTCAAGGATTCAAAAGGAAGCCAGATTTGGGGTACCTTCCTGAGGCTCACAAGAACCTTTCTATTCTATATGAACTGGAATCCTTGTGAAAACCTGTTAAAGCAAGTGTTCCTAACAGCCATTAATGTGTTCACAGTCACAAAAAGACTCTCATGAGTTATAAACTACTTTGTATGATCCTTGTTCTGAGAAGACAAAACTCAGTCTCTCAGCCCTGCCATGAGGCATCTCTAAGTCACCCTAGTGAAGGTGGCCAGTGTCTGCAGACTTGACCAGTCTATCTGGAGCGGCTTTTCCTCCATACTTACGTGGATACTTATCAATGGGTTCGTGCTCCTTCAAGTTCACATAGGCCTTTGGTTAACCTTCCACATAGACCAACAAGTCCCTCAAAGGCAAAGGCCTTAGCTCTCATGTCCTTTGTAGCATCGTTCACACTGCAGCTCCCTAGTGTTTGTGAGTAGAGAGGAGGCCATTAAAAGGAAGGAAAGCACCTAGACATGCTCCCTAGTATGCGTTGCTCTAGGTTTTTTGTTTCCTGTGAGTGGACCTTGATATTTCCCTGACCCCACGGTCCACTGTGTGTGAGAGCGAAAGTAACACTTATTGGCAGGTCTCTGTAAAATCAATGGATCACACAGTGTGCAGACAGCCCGGATTAGGGCCTGAGGATCTTACTCTGGGGCATTTGAAAGAGCTACTTCTTTCCCTGTCTCAGGGATGCACCATGAGCATATCTCACCACACCCTCGAGTGTTCCGTGCTAACTGATACGTAGGTCTGGGAAGGAATTAGGGAGCATTGTCCAACCCCCTCATGAGGATACCGAGACTAAGAAAGTTAATGATCTGCCCAAAGCCCTCAGCTATCTGGGGGAGATCATGCATGGAAGGTAGAACTCTGTCTCTTATTTAGTCCTGTGCCCCTTTTCACGCCATAGCTCGGCAATCTGTCTTTATAAGGAATCTTGACTTGTCAAAATCAGACTCTACTAGTAATTTTTAAAATCAGCCTTTTTGAAGGTTTTGATCATTTATTTTCAGTCGGTGGGTCAGGAAAAGTGAGTTATTGGCTCCCCCATGACTATCGGCTCTCATAGCATCTTGTGTTACATTACCCAGTGTGATACACCTTCCTGTGACTGGATTCGGATGTTTCTGGACTCAAACATAGACTCTTCATTAAATAAAATCCAGGTTAGGAAAATCAGCTCAGCGTGTCTTCCCTTTTTTATTTTTTAAAGAAATTTTTTAAAAAAATTTATTTATTTGAGAGAGAGAGAAAGCATGAGCAGGGAGAGGGAGAAGCAGACTCCCCACTGAGCAGGGAGCCCGACATGGGGCTCCATCCCAGGACCCTGGGATCATGACCTGAGCCCAAGGCAGACGCTTAACCAACTGATCCACTCAGGCCCCCCAAGGCTTCCCTTTTTTAAACCCAGAGGTATTTGGACCATTTGTCCAGTCACCCCTATTCTGAGCTGAATTGTGTTCCCAAAGAGATGAAGTCCCAACTCCCAGTACCTGTGCAAATGACCTTATGTGGAAATAGGGTCTCTGCAGATGACCAAGCTAAGATGAGATCATTAGGAAGGGCTTTATTCCAATCGGATTGTGTCCTTATAAAGGGGAGAAATTTGGACAGAGGCAGACACAGGCAGAGGGAAGAGGATGGGAAGACGCAGGGAGAGTGCCGTGTGTAGACAGAAGATCGGGGTGATGCTTCTACGAGCCGCCGGGGATGCCCAAAGTTACCAGCACACCACCAGAAGCTTGGAAGGGATCTGGAACAGATCCTTTCTCACCGCTTGAGAAGGAACCAACCCCGCGGACACTTGCTCTCAGACTGCCAGCCTCCAGGCCTGTAAGACAGAGCTCCTGGTTTGTGCTACTTCCTTGCAGCAGCCTTAGGAAACGAATCTACCTCCCAAAAGGAATAGGAAATGCAGGTTTCCTTTTGTGGATGCCTTCATGTGTGTTTCTTCTTTTCTCTTGTTAAAGGCAGTTTTGAGGTCAGAGGCTTTAAATGTATTTGGAGAAAGGCACCCTGGGTGATCTTAAAACTAAATGACATTTGTAACCCTTAGTTTGTAACTATCGAAACTCTGTTCTTTGGGGATTCTTTGAATTTCCAGTATTATTTCATCTTTATTTCTAAATATGATTTGATAACCACCCCTAGAATCGGTTATTTTGCTTGGTTTTTAACGTGATGGATGCTCAATGAATGAATTATTTAGTAAATTTAATAAGGCTCCATTTGACCTTTTGTTTGAAAGTGCTAGAAAATACTTTGTGTGGCACATAGTAAGAGCTTTATCAATATAGAGTTTATGAATTACAGAAGAGGCACACATGCACATATATGATAAGCCAACTTGTCAGAATATGTGACTCTGTAGCAGCTAGAGTTAACCTTATTCTATTTTAGTTCTTTGCAGACCAGAGATAGTTTGATTTTTTTCTATTATTTCCTAGATTATTTCAGGGATGGGGCAAAAGACTTTGCGATATTATTTAATAGTATATTAACAAAAAGCTACCAGCTAAGTGTTACTGAATTTGGAACATATAGTAAACAAACTTCTTGACACTTGTCCACACTTTTGGGAGGTGAGGGAAACATGGCAGGGGAGGTTGTACCTTAATATGATTTCTAACACCAATAGAAAATTACCAGCAGCTGGTATCTTTACTTGACTCAAAGATCTGAAAAGACTAAATTTTAGGTGCTACCCAGAGAGGTTTATGTGAGGCTACCTCAGGAGGCTGAAATGGGCAGCTTTTAATGGGCAAGAGTTGAGTCACATCTCTCTGCAGGGCACCTCAGCCTGCCAGTACAATGTTTCCCCGGACAGCAAGCATCTTCCATGGCCCCTG